ATGCTAAAGAAAAATAAAAAGAAAATTTAGAAAAATATTTGGTAAAATAAGCCTAAAATGGTCGAACCTAGCCTAGGTGGAAAGGGAAATTCGATGTTTTGTGATTTTGGTGGATTCACCTTGTATTGATGATCCTTGTGTGATCATTGTAGGTTGCCTCCCGCAGAATCGAACCCTGAACCGTGAGCTTGATGGGTTGCCTTTGGTCCCGGACCAAAGGAATTATGGCATTTCTGTTTGTACCTAGCTCGGTAACGTATTGCATTGGAGCTGTGAGAAGGAGATTATTCAGGTAATCCCTTAGTACTGGGATTTGATCCCCGTGTGTGCTCCACCATACCCGTTGAGGGTAATGGTAGGAAATGTATGTGAATAATATAGTATAACATGCTCATGCATATTGTATGTGTAGTGGTACATAGGATGTATCGTGTCTCTGGCCAGTAGATTGTTGCCTTCGGGCGTTACGGACTTCCACTGGATAGATCTCCGTGAGGGAGTTCCAGTTGATATGGGGTCGTGGTGTGTGATTCGTAGAGGAGCACACTAGGAAGTCTCGGGTGGATATGGATGGAGGGTGCCTTAGTTGATGTTCTGGGAACACTCCTTGGTTTGAAACCCGTAGGCTATGTGTCGAGGCCACTAGGCCGGACGTTGCGTGGTGTTGGCATTGACCATTCCAGCTTCATCGTATTTTGTTTCTCTATGCTCCCCTACTTCACTAAATCCCATGCTTTATCCCGGTTTTAAATGTTACATTATGTTGTTGATATGCATCGAAGTGAGCCATGGGGCGGAGTATTCTCCAGAACCTCTGGATTACTGAGATATATCCGTATATCTCACCCTGCTTTGGGGACTTTATTTCAGGTAGTGGCTGTGGTGCTGGAGCGGCGGGTAAGAGACCCGTAGCTTGAGCAGTAGGACTTACGTTTATTTTGCATTTTGGGGCCATGGGGCCTAGGCTAGACTTAGGACTTGAACATCATATTGAGTTAAGATTATGCATTGTATCATTGATGTTCATGTCATATTTTGTCTAAGTTTAGCTTAGGTTATTACATTTCATTTTGGAGGTTTTACGTTGTAATATTTGTAATTGAAGTTGTAAATTGTGATATGTTCATTGGAGACTTGATGTAATATTGAAGCATGCTATATGATGAAAGGGAAATAGGCCTATTCTAGGATTTGATTTATGTTTTATGTCAAAGAATTGCATGCAAAGGAATTAATGTGATTGAAATGGTTTAAGATTTTGTAAAGAGATAATTAAATGGAAAAGTAAGCTAATTGATATAAATTGTGAAGGGTTGTAAGAGCACCAAGGCATTGTTGGTCCTTGCGTGCCACCCATGAGGTTAGATAACACACCTTTAAACGTGAAATTTATTAGAAAAACAAAGGAGACTCTGGCGAAATTTCTAGAAATTGGCTGAATTTAGGTGAACTTTAGGAGAGCATATCTCCCTCCACAGAAGTCCAATGGGGACGTTCCATACGCCGTTTTAAAGCTTGTGATGTCCTCTATCTTTTGTTAAAATTTGAGAATTTTCTGGGTTGAAAGTAGCCCTGTATAAGCCTGTGAACACGAACTGTCGAGAACGCACCTGTGCAGGGGCTGTTTCTGGCAGTTTTTGGGGATTTTATTCCCGTTTCATTTCTTCGTCAAATTAGGTGCATGATATGTCAAATTGAATCTTAAGGTGTCTAGTTTACTGTATAAAAATTTGAGAGAAATTGGTTGAATGTACTTTCCATAATAATTGATAGAGTGAAGGTGGTTTGGAGCCGGTTTGAGGTTGGCTGGCAGATTTACTTGTCCAACTTCAAACGGTGATATCCGGAGCAAAAGAGAACTTTATGACTCGTGTAATAGCTCGTTAGAAAGGTAATTAAGTGTAAAATAACATACTAAAAGATGAGGAGCGCGCGTCATGCGGTTTGCCCGCAGTAATTAAAATACCGAACTATGTTCGGATAGGTAAAAAACCAAAAATTGAGATTTTAGCTAAGTGGGTTTATGGGAATCCCTTAGTGACTCGAGAGAGGTATTATATGATATTTTAGTAGTTTAAATAATTATTCCGCAAAGAGTTTACAATTACGATCACAACTTTTATTTATTACGCTTTATTATTGTTTTAACTGCTCGCGTAATAAAAAGGATAAAGTTTACTCGCATTTTTATAAATAAATAGTTGTGATTGTAAATGCGCTTAATATCATAATCAATGTTAACAATACCGGTGTTCAACGGGCTGTTACAAATTCCAGTATGAGGCAAATGAATAAACTGTTCGTACAAGTTGAGTTCATTCGATTAATGGATGACTCTGGTGGAATGTGATAAGTTATTACTGTGAACGCATTCGGCCATCGGGTGATTCCGGCTATTTGTGATGTAAAGATAAATATATATGTAAGTGTAGGTGTAGGTTTATCTTATATTCTATGATGTGTTATAATGTGTAGATTGAATGTGTGTGTGTGTGTGTTGAAATGTTTAATGTATTTGTTTAATTGATGAATAATTTTGTGTGATGGTGTGTTTTATCTGTTAATTGTTGTTATCTGTTGATTTTTATTGTGTTTGTAAATTTTATTGATATTCTTAAAAGTAATGAAATTGTCAGTATTGGTTATTGAAAGAAGAATATGATAAAGTAATGCGAATATATCTAGGAATGCTATGATACTTGGAGAAATCACTCCTGGAGTACCAAGTTAACGAGAGAAAGATGAAAACTTCTGTAAGAACTGTAGCATTGGATTATATGATAAATCCTGTAAGGTTATTGGTAAACTCTGAATGGTTTACTAAGTTAAATACAATTGTTTGAAAGTGGTTGTGTTTACATATTTATTATTTACTGTAGTGTTAAGTAATTTAAATATGTAAGTTGCTTGTCAAACTGTAATGATTACATGTAATTAACCATAGGATGTAATTGAACTAGATTTAATGATATGGAATTTTGTATGTTGTGTGATGTATAATTTGTCTGAAAATTTTATGCGTAATCTGTCTGCTTTTTTCTATTCTGCGTGTGTTGACTATGCAGGAAGTGAGCTTAAGAATGGGAGACTATTCTATAAACTTAGAGTTTACTGGGATTTTAAATCTCACCCCGCGTTATGGGGACACATTTCAGGTGCTTTCTCGGACGACGAGTTTTCAAAGGACTAGTGACACGGAAAAGAATGGTTAACAAACACATCAGGAGCAGCACGATAGACTAACGTTGGGTTTATGCGTGTATGTCTATGTTTCGTATAAATTATATATTTGAGTTGAAGGTATTGTTGGTACAACTGTATATAATTGTTGTGAGGTTATGTAGTTAAATGTTTGGATATGTTAGCATGTCTGTATGTTTCATGTTTGTTGAGAGTAAGTAGGAATCTATGGATAGATTCTGAAGATGTTAATATGAATATGTAAGTATTGGTTATGTCTGGATATCAGGTTTAAGAATTTGGATAGTCCGATAAATAGAGGTCATGTTGTCCGTTTTTACTGAATTGGTAGCTGTTACAATTTGGTGTTAAGTTTTAATTTTATGCAGTTATAGGGCTGTATAATTTATTATAATGATGTGAACATAAAGAATACAAAAGGAAAAGTTTTAAATTGGTCATGTAGTTTCAAGAGAACTATTGTGATACTTATAGGAAGTCTTCTGTTGTTCTTATTAAATTAAGTGTGTATCTATACCATATCTGCGTAGCATTCTGGTTGGTAAACCGAGGTGTTACACACAAGCTCCTTCATTGAGCAACAAACATCAAGCCACGCTATCATCCAACATCTCAGCACGAACTCAGCAACTATCAACTTCAAAATTAAAATTAAAATTTTAAAAGTCTATTTTTCTAATATAAAAATTATACTAAAATTCAATGATATTTATGAATTATTCTTCCTTTTATTTTTTTAACTTCAATTTCTTTCAAGAATTTTATTTGTGGAAAAAAAAAAAAAGCGAAAAGGGTTGTCTTTTTATATCTAAATTGTTTCTTACTGTATCAAGTTGCATAGCACTATGATATCATGCTACTTATAGAACTTTACACGAAATGTTTGATAATATTAAAGCTTATTTGCCTGCCTTAATGCTATTTATGTTATAGGCGAACCAAGTACTTCTCACTAGGGGTGTAAATGGGCTAGGCTGGCCCAGTCTAGCCTATAGCCCGGCCTACATTAAGCCTGGCTTGGCCTGGCCTTTCAGAAAAGTAGAGTAGACTTAGACTTTTAAGAAAACTTTTTTAAAAAATAGGTCGTAAGCCAATTTTGTCAAGCCTGGCCCAAACCTTTGTAGGCTGGCCTATTTAATTTATTAAAAACAAAATAATAAAATAATATTTATTTTATGTGGCATGGCAAAGTACCAATACCAACCCTAATTATTAGATGAATGACATTCTCTTGTAGACTTTATTTCAGCACTCAATAATTGTATTTTTCTTATTTTTCTCATTTCTTTGACTCTATTCTTCTATGATATACATTCTAAAGCTGGGGTATTATGTTGACTCTTTCTTGTTTGTAATTTTTTTCTTATGAGAAGTACTAGTGCATTCATGAATGAAACTTTCTTTGCTCTATACAATTATTTTCTTTGCTTAGTATCTACAGTGGTAGGCCTACAAGATTGTAGGCCATGTCGGGCTTTCTTATTTTTTAAAACAGGCCGGGCTTGGCCTACAAATAAAGCCTTTGATAGGCCAGTAGGCCAGATAGGCTGAATTTTTTTTACGTAGGCTTCAGCCAGAAAAGCCAAAGCCCAGCCCAGCCCATTTACACCCCTACTTCTCACCCTAACCAAATCTGAAATAACTCTTCAATACAAAGTTTATGGCAACCCACTACCGAATGGGCCTATAATTTTGTACAAAGCCCATCCAATCTCCACACCCCACCTTGCACCAATCATTGGCCAGCCAAGAAGATTATACAAGAGTAAGAGTGTACAGTCACTGCTCAGCATTTTAGAAAGCAATCATCGATGGGAGGTGGAACCATGCATGTTGACCATCCTGCGCCTCAGTATAGGAGCACCCTGAATAAGTTTTCTTTATCATCATCATCATCTTCTTCTTCTTCTTCTTCCAATCTTAATCCTCCAGTTTCAACTGATAGCAGCATGCTCTTTACACCATACAACAGCTTATCTTGCTGCTGCTGCTGTCACATTCAACTTTGCAGAAAAATGGAGATGGGGGATGGAAAAGAAGCCAAAACAGCAAGTGGTTGTCGCTATAAACATGTGTTTGAGCCGGTTCCATCTCAATGGGAAATTGAGGATGCGGTATCAGCTCTTAAAGAGTGAGTTCTAAGTTGTGAATTACTAATTCTATGTACTTTCTTCTGGCATCTATATTGTATCTATTTTTACATGTCACCCCTTTGAGATAATGGTCTTTTCACACAACATTAGATTGGTTGAAATTGTTAGTTCTGGTGTGTGTATATATATATATATATACGTAGTGTGACTCTGTTTGGATACATTATTTTAGGATTTCTTGGAATTTCAAATGCACTAGTTATTGTTTTGGTAATGAATAGTTTAACTTCAATCAGTATTCTATCTTGAGCCCTAACGTTACAACATTTTCTTATAACTCTTAATTCAGTTGTATCTTGTTGGCTGTAAAAGTTGTTTCAGGAAATTTGATGGTTTTAACTTTTTCCGATTGTGGGTTATAAGAGTTTTTGCAAGCAATAACAAATTGAGCATTCCGTTTCAAACTGTTGTCGTTCAGTTTTATGCAAGCAGTATCATCCTCAAACACAATTCAGCAGATTGCAGGATCTTATGATTCGAGGATAGTGCTGTCTAAGGGATATATAAGACTTTATGATGCTCTCCATTTGCTGCAGGCTGATCCCTCTATTAAGGTTCCTACTTGACTTTAGTAGTTTCATAACATTGAAAAGTATTTGCTATCTCTCCAAGTAAACCAAAACAATCCCTGATTTTGTGTAAAATTTGAAATTATGAAAATTCTCTTATTTTTTTGAATGATATATTTGTTGTTTTTAGACTTTCTACTTTCTTTTGACATTTCTTTTATAATTTGGCGGCCAATAACTTATTTTGAACCTCATTTATCACTCGCACTTTCTAGGTGGTCGTTCTTGCTTTTATTATTTAATTTTCTCTGACATTTTGTAGTTGGTATTGTTTACTTTTCTCTGTGGTTTGAATGTGTCTCTCGGATTATGACTTTCTTGTAGAGATTAGTGGTTTCACTATCATCTGATAAAGCTATTTGGGATGCTGTCATGAGCAATGTGCTGCATCACAAGGTCCTAGAGTTTCCTGATTCAGGTCCGTATTTTAGGTGGCCGTATTTTTTGTGAACTGCAGTACAAAAGTAAATAAATAAATGGATCGATGGCTTCCAACTGCATTCGTGCATTCCAAACCAAAAACCAAAAAGGAAGAAAGAAAGAGATAGATATGTAATATACTGATAATGGTTAAGTTACTGTTTTGAAGCAGCTATATTGTAATATTAAGCTAAGAAGGAACTAAACCTAGCTACTAGAACAAGAAGCAAAGCCTTTTCTCCGTGGGAAAGAAGTAATTAAACCAACCAAATAAAATAGATTTCTTTTCATGAAAATAGCTATGTTTTAGCATTATGAAAGGAGTGAAACCAACCAAATAAAATTGTTTTCCTTTCATAAAATCTTGCCAATGTTAAACTTCTACTAACTCGCTTCACTTTGTATTATTTCATCCAGTTGAATGTAGCAGCAGGTCTCAGATTTCTGAACAAAAAGAATTCGGCATACATATATTAAGCTGGATATTGGATATCATTAAACCAAAGATTTTGGTACTGATGGAAAGTTTCCAGTCACTTATGAATGATGTATTTCAATTTCCTAGAATGGAAAATGCAACAGCAGATGCAACGGAGCTGGATGAAAAAGTAAGGTCGTCTTTGGTTCTCTCCATTTTAATCCTTTTGATTGTAATTATGACTCGATCCCAAAGGTTCTAATCTTCGGAGAACGGACAACAGTACTTCATTATACATAGATTATAATAATTTGGACATTAGATTCATGTGCAAACTTTGACTGTTATGTAAAAATTTTGACTAAAACGAAATGGCATTACATAATCTGCTATATTAAGCTAGATACTTATGATTAGCATTTTGATGTAGTAATCAGCCTGAGAAAGCATTCCACAAGGCATAGGGTGTGTATGACAACTATTCTATTATCTAGCACTGTTTCTGAAAAGAAACAATTTTTTTCTATTTTTGTGCCATGGAATAGTTTCTGAAAAAAAAAAATGTGTTTGATAACATTTTTATTCCGAGAATGAGAATTGTGTTTGATAACACAACAAATAATATAATAAAAAATGATTCCTATTAAATATAAAAAAATTACGGATCATCACTTTCCTTTCCACATGGTGTGGTTGTGGTGGTGGCGGCGGCGACGACGGTACGATAGTGGTGGTGGCAGTGACGTGGTGAAGATAGTGGTGGTGGTTGTGACGGCAGTGGATGCGACGATGGCGATGGTAATGGTGGAGGCAGCAGCAGTAGTGGTGGAGATGGTGGTGGTGGAGGTGACGGTAGTGGTTGCGACAATGATGGTGGTGGAGGTGACGGCAGTGGTTGCGACAATGGTGGTGGGTATGGTGGTTGGTGGCGGCAACAATGGTAGCAGTGGCATGGTGGTGGTGGTGACAGTGGCTGCGGCGGTGGCGGTAATGGTAGGTGACAGTGGTGGTGGTGGTGGCGGTGGTGGCAATGGCGTGGTGATGGTAGTGGCGAGGGTGGTGTAATTGTGGCGATAGTGGTGGTGGTGACGGTAATGACGGTAATGATTGTGACGATGGTGGCGGTGGTTGGTGGAGGCGACAGCGACGACGGTGGTGGTGACGGTAGTGGTTGCGACAATAGTAGTGGTGGTTGATGACGTGGTAGTGATGGTAGTGGTGGCGATGGGGTGGTGGCAGTGGCGTGTGATGGCGATGGTGGCGGTGACGACAGTGGTTGAGATGATGGTGGTGGTGGTTGATGGCGGTAGTGGTGATGGTGGTGGTGACGGTGATGGTGGCGGCGGCGGCGACTAAGGGTGTAAATGGGCTAGGCCGGCCTACAAGGGCCTACGACCTAGCCTATATTAGGCAAGACTTGACCTATTATAAGTAGTAAAATAGAATAGACCTAGGCTTTTGAAAAAATCTATTTAGAAAACAGGCCAGAGGCTTTTTCGTACATGTCGGGCCTATAAACCTACAGGTCGGCATATATCATATTATTTATTTAAAATATAATAAATAAAATTATTATTTAATAATTTTGAATAATAAAATAATATTATTTTAGTTATTCATTTAATTCTTGAATGTTTAATAGGATTAAACAAGTTAACCGGCCTAGGCCAAGGCTTTTATTTTTTAAATATAGGTCAGGCTAGACTTGTAATTTGGAGCGCTAATAGACCAGGCCATACCCAATGGTTTTTTACACAGGCTTGACCTATTTAAGCCAAAGCCTAGCCTAGCCCATTTACATCCCTAGCGGCGACTGTAGTTGTGGTGGTGGTGGTGATAGATGGAGGTGGTGGTGAGGGGTGGTGACGACGACACTAGTGGTACGATAGTGGAGAGTGATTGAGAGGGATAAGTGTTTCTCATTTTATGCCCGGGAATAAAAAAGCAAAAAAAAATTGATTCTTTTTTCTGTTTCCCAGCACAAAAATTAAACTGATTCATCCCGGAACAAAAAAAATAAACTGATTTTACCAAACGAGTTTTTTATCCATTTCAGTTCCCGGAAATAGTAATTAAAAAAGAATTATTGTCAGAAAAGTTGTCATACACACTCACACAGAGACTCATAATCTGAATAGGCGGTTAACACTCAACAACACCTTTCAGTTCAGCAATGACAAGGATTAACGGCCGTTTGAATGATTTTTTGAAAAAAATACTTTTTATGAATTATTTTTTTTAAAAATAACTTTTTCTAAAATTCAAAGTTTTTTAAGTAAAAAAGTTATTTGGATGTTAAAATAAAAAAACACTTGTTCTTTGGATTATTTTATCAAACACCCATAGAGCAACGTAATAACATGTTCAATATAATACCACCAGGGCTGCTACACCTTCCGCCCAACTTCGATCCGCTAAAGGCACAGGCATGAACCACTTAATTTACATATTTAGGGTTAGAAGGTCTTCCACTAATCTGAAGCCATTTTCCATTCTAGCGTTCTGGGTGTCTAAATCTCTTCGAAGCTTGTGTTTCAGAGTTCAACTTTCACAAGGGTTTTGCTGGAGAAGGACTCAATACCATGGCATGGTGATTAACAACTCCATTTTCTATGCTTTATCTGGTTTTCTTCAAGAAGGAAAAACTGCTGCAATGGAGAGTTCGGGTTCGGGTTTGGCTGAGAAGAATGAAGTTGTTGATAAGGGATGCGAAAACGGTGGTAAAAAAAAAAAAAGAGTAAATACTCTTTTTGATCCTCAGTAAATTTCACGATACCCGTTTTAATCCCTAGCAAATAAAAAGACCCATCGTGATCTCTAAAAAATTCAAAATAAACTCATTTAGTTAAAATCGTGGTCCCTCAGAAATTCAAAAAAGACTCATATTAATCCCTAAAAGGACTAAAATGAATCCATTTTGAATTTCTTATGGACCACGATAAGCTTTTTTATTTGCTATGGACTAAAGCGGACATCGTGAAATTTGCTAAGGACCAAAAAAGATATTTACTCACAAAAAAAACTTTTGCTGATTTGATTGAAGAAAAGGGTCGTGAGACTCATGAGGTAAAATTGAAATATTACAAGATTTGTAAGTCACAAACGCATGAAGGTAAAATATTATACCATGTAAAATACCAAAGTAAACTCCATAGTTCAAACATTAATTATTTAAAAAGAATTTACATTAACGTTATGGTCTTTGACTTGAACAAAAATAAATAATTTTATTTGTTATTATTTTCTTTATGGGAATATGATTTTAACTTTTGAAGCACACAAATTTGTCTGTCACAAAGACATAAAAAGAGTGGCCCCATCATTTTTTATCTCTCATTCCTTTATGTTTTCTCTATCTATCCTTTTGTCTCTGTGACTGACAAATTTGTCAGCTTCAAAAGCAGAAATTATATTCCCTTTCTTCATACCAGCAATGTACTATCTCTAAAACCACAGTAACTCAAAAAGGACTTCTCACAAATCTTAAACATTGTCTTCAGAGTTGCGGTGCTTGTTACTTCATTCTTTACTGCTAAGGCTTCTCAATTTCATAACGACAGCTTTTATTTCTTCAATAAGAAATTATAGAAGAAATATTGGGAAAGTCAATAAAAGTTCATATAGTAAAATCTCTGAAACAGTTTCCGGAATCTTGGGGGGAAATAATAGCCTATGCATACAAATCTCTGTTTTCTCTTGCTGGTATTTCATCTTTTTTTTTTTTTTTTGGTAAAAGTATTTCATCTAATTTTGACAAGGTTCAGATACTGTACAAATTTGAAATATCAGGACATCCAGATTCCTGGACCAGTCAGTTCACGATCTGAAGAACCTTGGTTGGCTAGCTTCTGAATACGGGAAGAAAATTCTTCAGCCTGAAGTGGATTGATCAAAGTCAGAGCACTCGCAGAAAAAAAGCAAAAGACAGATTTAACAAAGTATGAGCTCTAGACGTATATCCACCACTTCACAACCCTCTCCCTCTGGACTGCTACTTCGGTTTGCTTGAGTAACAGTTGGGAGCTTATGCATATTTTATAAATACCATACAAGTTTTCGTAGAATAACCCCTTGCAAACAACTAGATGATAGGCAGAGACTGCATAGAAAGAAGAAATTCCCAAAACAAAGGACTGCAGACTCTAAAGAATATTTAAGTAAATGAACCATATCTTTCCATTTTATTGGGTGAAAAATTGTTCAAAACTTCAAATATTAGGATAACAAACGTTACTTAGCACATCAACTCAGTCCTTTCAGACCCAGACTGCCAACGGATTTTTAATATCGAGCTTGACTTCAGTCCCACCCCCGCACAACTGAAGCTAAGAGGGAACCCTCATCAATTTCCTTCTACTGGTAAAATGGACATAAAATAGAAATAGACCACATTCTTTGTAATAAACCCACATCTTAAAAACTGCAGAAGTAGATTTAAGAAACCTTTTGAACAAGGAAATTTATCAGGACCAAAAGCAGTCATGTGTCACAATATCCGTAATTACATCTTCCATTTCAGTCCAGCATCTAACTGCAATTCAACTTGCTTATCAAGATGGGGCTATTAGTACTTTTATTTGTCTATTTACACTGTAAACCCTGCTTTCTAATCAATCTTGAGCAAACAAAGTTGACTAGGTTATTAATGGTAAAGAAAGTAAACGGAGAATTCCTACAGTTCATATCCCCGAATAACAAACATTATCCCCACACCTCCCGTTTCGTTGGCAAAAACTTTCGCAGTAAGGAACACTGCCATTTCCACCACCAAGATAACTTTGAAACCTCTTTCTAAATCCTTAATGACAGCAAATTCTACAAATCTAGTTAACTCTAATAACTCAAAAGATATGCATGATCAGCATTCTATACCAACTTGAAGGTTCCTCCATAACTGATGGTTCCATATTTCTAATAACTTGCAAGTGTGAACAGGTTAAAATAAGGCAAAAGCACCTTTACTAGGCTAATTGCACAATAAACTGTAAAGAACCGATTCAACCCAAAAGCTTAAGCTATTGGATGAGGCTACAATAGTGATTTTATATATCTCAACACGCCCCCTCATACGAGAGTCCACTGGGCTTGAAGGGTAGACAATGCACAGGCCCACCTACCAGTGCGAAGAAAGAAATTCCACTAGAAAGAAAGTGAGGGGTGGTGAGGATCGAACCCGGTACACCGAGGCTTTGATACCATGTAAAGAACCAATTCAACCCAAAAGCGTAAGATGTTGGGTAAGGCTACATTAATGATTTTATATATCTCAACATAAACAGATACTAATTGTGAAAAATACATCTCATAGAAATCAAAAACTGGATCTTGAAGCAAACAAGTCTAGTCCAAGTGTAGTCCTTTCTATCTGTAAAGAACCTTGGGATACACCACCGCAAAAGCTAGCTCAAAGGGTGGGAGTGTCCAAGGCCTTATAAACTTCACATTAGTTGCTCATACAACCAATGTGGGAATATATATCTCAACATTGCTCATGTAACACGCCCCCTCACGCAAGAGCCCTCTGGGCTAGAAGGGTGAAATTGCACAGGCTCTGATACCATGTAAAGAACCTTGGGATACACCATCCCAAAAGCTAGCTCAAAGGGTGGGAGTGTCAAAGGCCTTATAAACTTCACATTAGTTGCTAATACAACCAATGTGGGACTATATATCTCAACATTGCTCATGTAACACTATCTAACAAGCAGAAACAGCTAAATAATTCCAATATGCTATATAAATAGCAGAATGAAAAATACAAACCTTTTCATCAATCCACATCAGAGAAGTTAGTTGATTATTTAGAATTCTAACCACTGCATCTAATGGAGTCATTCCATCAAGTGCATCAAGTTCTCCACCCTGAATGAAACAATATTGTGAGCATAATTTCTTGCTCTTTTATTGAAATAAAAGATCAACTTACAACCTTTACCTGGTTTGAGTTAAGGGATTGGATGATTGATTTGATCTGTTCTGTCATCTGCTCTAGTTCCCTTTCTATCAATTCAGACTGCTCATACCTGCAAGAGAAAGTATTAAAAAAAAAATAATAATAATTCCAAGAATGGCAGAATGCATCAGTAATGAAGTTAAAGTGGAAAAGGAAAAGAAATATAACCATACATTTCATGATTTGAAGAGATACATAGCTTTTAATTGCATACACATGTAAAGCTGTACATTGAATTTCACATGACTAAAAAAAGAGGTCTTTTAGTATGCACAAAATTTAGGGTGAAGGAAGGCCTCTTCATTCCAAGACTAGGGCAAACCACCAACCTTAATTAAAATTTCCAGTGGATATACAGATTGTCTATAAACCAGGATTCCTTGATTCAAACCCAAGTCATGCAATTGTCATGAGTAAACAAAGCAAAAAAAAATTGTTGTGGTGGGGGGTGGAAGGTGGAATCCAAGAAGTGTTGTTAAACTAACCTAATTCATCATATTGAAACTAACCTAAAAACAATTTCAATTTGTGAATTTAATTTTAATGTTGTAAAGGTGACTAAACCTTGAAATATCCAAAATAATTTCTCACAGAACACTAGTTTCTTTTGGCATAGTTAGTATTAGTTGGTTTTTCATACTAGGATTGAGGGATTGGATTCTAGACCTCCACCAGGGTAGCTGACTAAAATCTTGTTCCAAAAGCTATCATATTCAGTGTTGTAAAAACGTAGTGTCGAAACGTAGAAACGTACCGTTTCTACGTTTTTATGACAAAAAACGTGTCGAAACGGTAGTTGAAACGGGTTTTGGGTCGAAACGGTTGAAACGTAGTGTCAACTCGTAAACTCGGTTGAAACGTAGTGTCAACTCGGCATTTATTTAACCATTTTTTTAAAAAATTTGAAACTAATGACTGAGTGTCTGAATGGAATTAGGTTTTTATCTTGGGCCTAAGCTATCGCATAATTTGTGTTGTTGTCATCTGCAATCGCAACTTGAAGTCTAAATCATTTTTTTAATTTGGCTTTAAACACACTTTAACTTAATTAATCGAAGCATTGTAGATTTTCTTTTTTTCATAATATCTGTTAATTGCAATTGCTGTAATAATTAACAGATTAGATTTAAATTATCCTACTTCCACCATTTTTTATTTTATTTTCTTTAGTGTTTAAACTTAAATTTGTGATGACTTATGTATTGATGTATTTTGGATATATATATATATATATATATATATATATATATATATGTTGGATATATTTTTTAGTAAGTAATAAACTCTTACGTTTCGTTTACGTTTCACGATTTTACGTTTTTGCTCACCCCTACCGTTTCTACGTAGACTTTACGTTTTAACAACATTGATCATATTATTCAATCTATGACAGTAGCGCTAATTTATATAACACCCACATAAGTATCATGAACAATCAGTTCTTAATCCTTATCATGCAGTAATTTATTATTTAAGTATACACCATAAATGACCAATTTGTATTCAGTAATCAGTAGTACAAAAACAGTTCAAAGCTAAAGCGATTAGTTAATGCAACTTAAATCAACTTTACAGTAAGACAACAAAATCTGCGATGTTACTAATGAACACTAACCATTACTCAATAACTTCTTATAGAAAGTGATTTCGACAAATCTGACCATGAACATTTAGTACACTCAATTCTTAATCCTTAGCATGCAGTAATTTATTATTTTAGTGAACACCATAGAAGACCAATTTGTATTCAGTAATCAGTACTATAAAAACCACTGTTGTTAAAACATCGAGTTGACTCGGTAGAAAGGGCCGTTTGCCGTTTCTACATTTTTGCCTCCAAAATCGTGTTGGAAACGGAAACTGAGTTGACTCGGTGAGTTTACCAAGTCTACTCGGTATTAAAAAAAATTCAGAGATCAGGGGGAGGAGGGGATTCCGCCATCGTTGACTCTGACTTCGTCGTCATCCTCGTCGCTCTTCTCTGCACTCTCATCTGTGTTCTTGGACTCATCGCCGTCGCACGCTGCACCTGTCTCCGCCGCTTACATCTCTCCTACACCGCTACTGCGCAGACTCCTCCTTCGACCGCCGCAAACAAAGGCATCGAGAAGAAGGTTCTGTGCTCTCTTCCGAAGCTCAGAGACCTCCTCCTCCTTCTCCTTCTCTTCTGCTTCCAAATCCTTCTGCTTCAGATGTTTTGTAAAAATACCCAGAAAAAGAAGAGAGAGGGAAAGAGAGAAAGAGAAGAGGAAAAGAGTTAAAGTATCTATTAGCGTAGCTTTCTGCTATAGGTCTCATTGTATTAGACTCTAGCTTATACAAATGTGTTAGTGTACTTCTGAGTTAGTTAGAGTGTGACAACTGTAAGCTAAGTGTGTGACAGCTGCTGTAAGCTTCAATGTTGAGTCATCAGTTTGTAGTTTGTATATATATCATCTTGTATCTGAAACGTATTGTAACTTTTTATTCTTCAATAATACAAATGGGTTCTTTTCAGATTACTCTCTTCTCTCTCTCTCTCTCTCTCTCTCAGATCTTCTTCTCTCTTCTTCATGCAACTCTCAGATTTCTAATATGGTATCAGAGCTCTCTTTCTGAGGGCCTGATCCAGTTAGAACTCCACTATGTCTTCCGCTTCCGACTCTGATTCAAACGCATCTGACTCGAATCAACCACATTCCAGATCTAAATCTCAGAATCAACGATCTTCCAGATCTACTTCCTCGTCAATGAAGATCAAGACAACTTCTCTGTTTAACCTTCAGATCTCTGCCAAACTGACAGAAGATAACTATCTTTTTTGGAATCAAATTATCGAACCGGTAATCACATCACATCAGTTGCATCATTTTCTTGTTAATCCGAAAATTCCTCTTAAATTTGATTCAGACGAAGATCGAGAGAGTGATCAATTGAGCTCAGAATATATTGCATGGCTAATCAAGATCAGATGTTACTTACATGGCTTCTGTCAACAATTTCTGAATCTATTGTCAATGATATCTTACCTGTTAAGCATTCTTTTGAGGCCTGGAATAATATTCATAAGCTGTTTCATGGAGTTATGAAATCTCGTGCTCGTCAACTCAGATCTGAGTTGAAAACGATGAAGAAAGGCTCAAAGTCCATCAAGGAATACTTAGCACGCATCAAAACTCTTTGTGATTCGCTGAAATCGATTGGAAAGCCTATATCAGTTGAGGAGCACACTGAAACTATTCTTGAAGGCTTACCATCAGAATATACTCCGTTTGTTATGATGATACACGGACGTGAGTGTGATTGCTCTGTTGCATATCAACAGTGGAGCTAATGGCTCATGAACAACTTCTAGTCAAGCAAAATGATAATCTCCTAACTGAAGGAATAACTGTGAACCTCACCCAACGTTCACCAAGTTCGCTCCAGGAAGTTACTAACGAAGAAGACGACTCTGTTTCTGAAATCAGAAAACAGAGTCGAACAGAGCAATTTTCACAGCCTGCTTTTCCTTCCTCCAATGCTTACACTGATCAAAACAAAGGTCGTGGACGCTCTTTTACACGCTACAATCGAGGAAGAGGACGTGGAAACAGAGCTAATGTTCACTGCCAGTTATGTTTCAAGTTTGGCCATGATGTCACTACCTGTTGGCACCGGTTTGATGAAAACTTTGTGCGTAGCTTGCCACCTCCATAACATGTGCCATATTCTCAGTTCTTTCAACAGCAGCAACCTCAAAATACACGATCATTTCAGTATGTCAGGCCTTCAAATCAGCAACATGCCTTTGTTACTGCACAACAAGGACTGTTACCTACTCCAAATACCATACCACTGATGGAGTGGTTGCCAGACTCTGGTGCATCTAGCCATGTAACTGGAGGAGCACAAAACATCTCTCACAGCCAACAGCTAATGGGTTCAGACCAAGTTTTGATAGGAAACGGTCAAGGTTTGCCTATTACAGCCATAGGATCCTCTTCTTTTCTTTCTCCTCTTGATGCTACCACTTGTTTACATCTAAACAATTTATTGTTGGTTCCTTCTATAACTAATAATTTGATCAGTGTGAGTAAATTTGCTAGAGACAACTCAGTCTTCTTTGAATTTCATCCTAATGTCTGTTACGTCAAATCTCAGGTTTCACATAAAGTCTTACTTCAAGGAACTGTAGGAGCTGATGGTCTCTATCGTTTCTCTGACATTCATTTTACTTCACAAACTGATCCAGTGACCAGTAATAGTTGTCCTCCAATTTCGTGCCTGTCTACAGTTACTAATTCTTGTAATTCTCAGTCTGATCATGCTCCAGTTTACAGTAGTGTTGATTGTAAAAATAGTTGTGTCAACACTGAAAATAGGACATTGTGGCACTGTCGTTTAGGACATCCACACTTTGATTCTCTCAAAAATGTATTGAAAACTTGCAATATTCCTTTAAGTAATAAAGTAGCTGGAGAATTATGCTCTTCTTGTTGTGTTGCAAAGGCTCATAGACTACCCTCATCACCTTCTACCTCTCACTATAAATTTCCTTTTGAATTGGTGTTCAGTGACTTATGGGGACCATCACCCTTCAAATCTACTCTTGGTAATAACTACTATATATCATTTGTTGATGTCTGCACACGGTATACTTAGATCTATCCACTTAAACAAAAATCTGATGCTATTTCCATTTTTAAACAGTTCCATGCAATGATTAAAAACCAATTTCAAACACCCCTTAAGTCATTTCAATCAGATTGGGGTGGGGAATTCAAAATTTTTACCCAATATCTAAAACTTCACGGCATCCATCATAGAGTCACTTGTCCTCATACTCATCACCAAAATGGTGTTGTTGAAAGAAAGCATAGGCATATTGTTGAAACAGGTCTTGCATTACTTGCACACTCTTCCCTTCCCATGATCTATTGGGACTATGCCTTTACCACAGCCACATATCTCATAAATAGATTGCCCTCTTCTTTTATTGATTTTACTTTTCCATACACTAAACTGTTCCATAAAAATCCAGATTATACCTCCCTAAAAGTTTTTGGGTGTACATGTTTTCCTTTCCTTCGGCCTTATAATAAG